CTAGGTCACTCGAGGAGTGAGAAGGTGGAAAATATGTGCGTCTGGCTGGTAACGCCGTCACGTGATGCGGCTCCCAGCACCGAGCATGGCTTACTTCTCAACATCCTCACAGGTTTGGCGCTTCGTTTCAAACCCTACATATTCTTTATTTATGTATTAACTTGAGGTTCCTTTGGATGACGCATCCCTCGACAGGTTAAGTGGAGGAGCTCCTCGTGACCTGAAGGACTGCGCTGGCTTTGCGCGGCGCGCGGAAAGGTCGACTAGCCAAGGAAGAGATGAATCGCATTGCCTCCGATCTTCCCGGCCCGACGTGATCAGGCACGAGTGCCGGTAATGACGACCACAAGCATCCGCCCAGCGGAGTTGTATGGATTAAATACATCACCGCGCCTCGGGATCATCTGAAAGCTGACAGGGGAGGGGCTACAGACACGACGAGCAAGAAATAGCTACACATACTCCTTACATACTTTGGCATCTATGTAGGCCTGGGTGGCCTTGCCTGGTGCATGCGATATACACACATACATACATGAATGATGATACAGGGTACGAGTGAGTAGGTAGTCCTATATAATGGCAAGAAGAAGACGACGTATACCTCAGAGTCTAAGACCGACTCAGGGCCCGCACGACAGGAAAAGAATGCTCTGGAAAGAGAGGACAGGTGCAACAAGGATACCTACCGGTGGGAGAAAGAGAAACGAGGGGTGAGTCGTGACAGAGCAATATGAAAGCACCAGGCGGGAGACATCGGCAGTCTTGGCGTTCTGATGCCAACAACGCATGCGCTCTAGATAAGCTTATAATATATCAAGCTTATAATATATCATGTATGTATCATTGTATGTACACACTTTTCACCGCCGCTGTTTGGCCAGCTGAGCACTCGCCACAATGTCACCCGCCGCATTCCCATGTCAACTGAATAATTTACAGCGCTCGGTAAATCAAGATTCCTGCGGTAGCATATCGATATAATTCGACATTACGTGGTTGTGTCTCTACACACGGCAAGCGGCTTTCCGGCAGTCTGGTTCCCAGGATCAACCGCTTATTAGCTCGGTAGTACCTCACATACCTACCGCTCACTTCATGGTCATACCGAGCACTTCATGTACACAACAATTATGCCCGTAGCTGCAACAGTGCAAGTATGTACTACGACAGAGAGGTACTCTTGTGATACTATGATCATTGGCTGACTCTTGGTAAAATGTAAACTCTTCGTTTAAAATGGGAAGTCCGGAGGGACTATAGGAGGTAGTAAAGCTGAAGGGTGGGTTACCGCTGCCGAGGATTCACGTGACCATTTCAGTTTCCAGGTGTGACCGCCGATCATTACCGCATCTCATGTATGACGTAGGGCGTTACCGAGCGTATCCACACTTCTCGCAGTTTTCCTCCTCTGTCCCCCTCTGCCCCTCACAAAAAAGCCTACCCTGAAACCGGCATACTTGTAAAGCCTCGCTTTACTTCCTCATCATTACAGGAATCGTCGCAAATTAGTTCAGCTTTACTAATGAAACCGGCATACTTGTAAAGCCTCGCTTTACTTCCTCATCATTACAGGAATCGTCGCAAATTAGTTCAGCTTTACTAATTAGTAATTTGCCACAGTCCGGTCTATGTATAGTTGCCGGAATATTCAGGTATGGAAAGCGCATTCTCGTGGCCCAGCGGTTCACGAGAGTATTGAGCATCTTAATTGTCTATGGTTTTTAGTACGATTTAATCGTGCGGCTTTGTTTGTCGTAACAACAGAGGAGCATTTGATTGTTTATTATTTTAATTAAAGCTAGCTTTCACGTGATCATCGGCCGTGTGGCTCAATGGCAGAGCGTCTGACTACGATTGCCGTCACGGGTCATCCGTACGGGTCATGTGTAATCAGAAGGTCGCAGGTTCGACCCCTGTCTCGGTCAATTTTTTTTTGACTCATACCCAGATGAGTGAGGTATCTAGGTATCGTATGTACGAGTTTCGCGACCTGCACTGCCAACTCAGTTGGTGATTTTTGTTACTCTTCTGTTGTAGCGCCGTCGAATTGATTGAAAATTTGTGTCACCCCCATGGCATCAAAGATTAATCGTACCTCCGTTGGAATGGTGCTGTACTCGCGGATCTGTTGGCCTCCGTGGATTTGTTACACCTTTGTGGGGTTTATTGCTGCACTGTTGAAGTGAATTTGCTAGGTACATACAGCCTATAGTATCATACAGGTCCTTAATTCCTCGCTCCGTCTTGTTAGTAAAGCTGAACTAATTTACGACGATTACTGAAAGATGAGGAAGTAAAGCGAAGCTTTACATTTACGCCAAAGTTCAGTGTCCTGGGGGGGGACATGTCGGGGGGGACCAGGAGAGGAAGGAGGAAAAAAAAAGTTGAATTGCTTTCGATAAAAAAGAGATTGACCGAGACAGGGGTCGAACCTGCGACCTTCTGATTACACATGACCCGTACGGATGACCCGTGACGGCAATCGTAGTCAGACGCTCTGCCATTGAGCCACACGGCCTGTTAGAGTTACCAACATGATCAGCATTTAGAGATTATCAAGTATAGACAGAGTTCGAGCGCTAGCACATGCAATACGAATGCTTCGACTTCAAGGGTGAATAATCGGATGAAAATATGAGAATAAATACAAGCTGCTTAACTGAATTGATGGTTACTGTATGTTGTTGTTTCTCTTTCAAAACAGTATCCCTATACTTCCAAGTGCCGACGCCATCGCCTTCTGCGACAATCAGTGCATGAATTTCCGCGTCGATGCTAACTTTCATCCTCAGCTTCAATCGAAGCCGCCGTTAAAATTTCCACTACTTCTTAAGCTGACGGCTCCCGGTTAATCTTAGGGATCTAGGTCCTACATGAGAGGCGCCCCTTTGTTGAGACGAGCGAGCCATCTCTGCACCAACCTCGGAGCGCCTATATGACCACTTCAAAGCCTTGCCCGTGGCCTAAGGATTCGTAGTCGTAAAGGGCAATCAGGCGCCTCTGGGACAGAAAACTTCGTGAGCCGGACGACGTCACTTTCGGCTATGAACCAAAGGCGCTGTTTTTCAACGCTCTACCAAGTAGCGTCAAGGCGCAACGATGCGATCGGAATCCTAGCCAAGAATCCCGCCCGGCTTCTCCTTGCCCTTGATTAGGATTGGGGGATCGTGCGGTTCAAGGGGAAGATCAGTGCTGGTTATGAGCTGCGCCTGGTCGAGGAGTTGACGTGCCCATCGGCAGATGTGCAATAAGCAATGTTTCAGGACGCCATCTTGGTCAACGCGTCGATGACTGTTTTCTCACGATCTATGCACAAAATTCGAGGGCCAGAATGGTCGCACCTGGCAACAGCTGGCGCAATTGGTTCAGAGTCCAGCGTAGGTGCTCTCGACATCGTTGGTGTAGAATAACAGCACCAATCCCGTATGAGAATTGCACCTGATGTACTCTGTGAGTCTGTATTTAATTATTGACATTGCCGGTCGCAGCAGTTGGGAATACTGCGCAACGTAATGGGGATACTGCACAATGAGACCCATGAAGTATTGCGTCCAAATCGACCCAGAGCATTTGTACAATCGTCCACTGTGAGCCGTCCGTTCTTCTTTTGCCCTACTTTGAAAAGTATCGGGACATGCGATTCAGCGATTCAGCGATCGCATAGTTCTGACTCTGTATCCTCGGTAGCGTTGACCGAGTTTTGATCCCTTATTCGCTATCAGCTGTCCTCATTGTCGCGCAACGTGTCCACATCTGATGCCAAGGGGTCGACTATGCCTGCTACAATGTGACAAACAGGCTGAAGTGATCGATTATTGATACGCGAAGTCACGGTGGAAGGAAGTTGAAGTTGGAACGGGGGCGCTTAACGTTTTTTGACCAACACAGAGAATCGCATCTATAATCCCGTATCTCGAAACATAGCGCTGGTGACATATATTGAACAGATCTGCAACCCTCACAGTGCTCATCTTCCTCAAACCGGAAGAAAAAACTACGCATGCGTGCGTTACGTAGAACGATCATGGTACGCATGACCGCCGCGGTTGAGTTCAGCTTCTCTGCTCACGCGGCTCTTTCACCGCCTCAAGTTTGCGAGCCATTCTCTTTCTGTTTGTGATGTGATACCCCGATTAAGGAAGTGGGATTCAACGCCCAGTCGAGGAATAAGAGGATCGTGATACTTTTCTATGCATCGCAAAGTATCAGTCAAGGTGGGATGAGCCGACCAAAGTGCATCTTGGGCTTACTGCGGTCAAATTGACGCCGAAAAATGGAGAAAGGAAAGCGTTAAGGATTGATTGACAGTGAAAGACAAGACTTACTGGGACTGAAAGACTGGTCGGCCACCTTTGCCATAATCCTGTCCTGTTCTTCCCTGAACCTTCGAGAGTTGCCCACAGGAGGGGGTACTGTCTCGGCGGCGCCGGAGGCTGGCTGCGATGAGAGGAGAGCGCCGGCCATAATGATGACGTGTGGAAGGACTGCGTCTTCAGAGCGCCGCGAGAAGAATGGAGCTGTTGAAATGCTCGGTACTCTACACTTCGCGGAAACGCATCAGTGTCGTCATGCGTAATGAATCCCTTGGAGAACCCGTGAGCTTACGAAGACACACGTGACACACCGTACCTCACGTACACGGTACATAGAATAGGTATGTAGTACATACCTCTGCCCTACTTCCACGTCTACGATCCTGCTCCTGACAGAAGTCTACCTAATCTCGGCGCTGTCTACACAACATTCTCTAATTATTCTCAACGTCCTAGATGATCACGAAGGAGGCAGTCAACTGAAACTCTCGATAACTTTGTCCCGCATAATTTTCTGATGCGCTCAATAGCTTTGACACATTAGTTCATTGCGAAATGAAACATTCAACAGTCCCTGATGCTTGGGACGAGGACTGGGAGGTGCAAGCCGACAGTGCGGCGAATGATGAGGATAACAAGACCGAACATGATGGGGAAACATCATTGCAGCCCACACCGTCACTGACCAAGGCAGAGCGCATTACGAAGCATTGCGAGGCAAATCGAAAGGTGTGGGAATTTGCGTAAGTAAATAATTTTGTTTGTTTCTCACATCCTCTTTTCCTCTTCTATCTCTCTCCCTGTCTTTCCCTCCAGCTGACGTGAAGGCGAAATTGCGACAAATGTATCTAGAGACGCTTCGCCGCAGACCTTCCATTATTTGGAAGCCAGCAATACCGTTCCCCTGACCTCCTCATTCAAACCACAAGTTAAGGTTCTCTCACGACAACCAATCATTGCGAAACGCGGTGCCGCGTCTGGCGGCATGACACTATCTGCCGAATATGACGATGATGCAGAAACTAAGAACGATCGACAACCTACGGCTGATGAGATCCGAGCCAAGCAGAAACGAGATCTGGAAGAGAGACAGCGTCGATATGATGAAGCCCGAGCCAAGATCTTCGGAGAATCAAATCCCTCATCTCGAGGGTCGTCGCCTGGAAATGTCACGCCGCCCAAGTCGGATGGGCGGCAGTTGAGCAGAGGCCGCGGAAGAGGAGGCGGACAGAGAAGCAACACGAGTGGCCATGAGGCAAGAGGCCAGTCAGACATTAGGCGAGCAAAGAATCAGGTTCTCAATGGCAGAGAGCTTTATAATCCCAAACTCTCGCCAAAAGCCGACCCCATAAGTCAGCAGCGCAGAGTCGGAGAAGGCGACATTTCCGTGAATTGCACTCCCGTTAGCAATGACCAATATCGATACCAGTCGCAGTATCAACCACCACCGCTGTCACCTCATTACCAGCACCGCCCACAACAACAAGCCGTACGGTCCCCGAGAGGACCTGACGGCAGCGGACGCGGCGGCTTCGGGTTCGCCCGTCGTAACAACCAGAACATCTGATGCGATGTCTCGGCTCCTTTTCCGACTTTCTCATCAGTAACCGGTATGAACACAAGGCCACGCCGTTCTCCGCTATTATTCCATAAAGAACGCGACTATGAGACGCCCCTATTTCAGCTTTTGCAAAGATAAGATACACGGAGGCGTGCTACCAGCCGCCTCCAGCTTTCCCAGCTAGCTGAACCACCTTCTCGGCCTCCGTTGCTTTTCCGACGTCGCTATTGACCTCGCGATACGTCGTGAATGCCAATTTATCGATGCTGATGCCCGTAACTCGGCACCAGTACGCCAGGGTATCATGTACATACGAGCGAGAGATGCCACCAATCACATCACCGCTTTGAAACTCGTGGCCATCGTCATTGCCGTTTCGGGCCATGTCATTCGGATCTTCGCACGAGAAATATGCCTCGTCAACCTCGGCCAGCCACTCCTTTTGTTCCTGGGGACCAGGTCTGCCCAGTAACTTCTTGCGGTCCAAGACCACAGGATCGTCGATTTTGACCTGGCCGCCACCGTTGGTACACCCACCTGGACAGGCCATTACCTCGACATAGCCGTATTCTAAAGCGGTCTGCTTCCCTGTTGGCCGCCGAGCGCTGCCGAGCGGTTTACCGCCTGGCATCCGGGATGCCCGAGCAGGCTTCAACCTGCGTACCAGGTTCTGAATATTCCTGAAGCCATAGTACCGGGCTGCTTTGAACACGGGCGAGCCGTCAACCACAACGACAAACTCGACGACGTCTGAGTTGCGGCCTCGAGTCGTGTGGATCTGAGAACCAGGTATCTGCGCAGCTTTGCGCTGTAGGATGTGATGGAGCAGACCTCCCGAGGTACCCGCGGTACGCGGCACTTGTTTTCGAACCAGTGGTGGAAAGAGGAAATCCTGCAGTTCCTTGCTTGGGAACGGCGGCACTGGTGGCAGAGAATAGGCCGCTGTAGCATCGCAAGTAGAATCGAAAAAATCGAGCCCTCTAGACTCAGCGAGCATTAAAACCTCTTTGCTTGTGATCACACAATCCACGTCGCGAACCCCTCGACCAGGCAATCCCGAGCCAGCCCAGACCTCATCCGTAAGTTCCTCACGACTGGCTTCTAGCTTTTTATCGAAGCATGGCATGACAGCGAGGTGCCATATCCTGTGAGGGGGAATTCCCAGTTTCCGACTCAATGTTGTTTTAAGCATCGTCCCTAGGAACGCCTGCGGCGACTTGATCTTGGATAAGAAGGGCAGCACGTGAGGATGCGTCTTCTCAGCGTAGCAGACCCATCCGGGACACGCCGATGACAAGACCGGTCGCGGCGTAGGTCTAGCTGACGTTCTACCCATCTCGAGCACCTCATCCGCACCCAGCACCAGGGTAGCCTCTCTCGCAACATTCGTATCGAGAACCCATGTGAACCCATTCTTGTACTTTCCTCCAGCAGCCAAGCCATTTCCCCCCCGAAAAAGTCTCTCAATCATCAGTCCAGCTTGCTGCTCTGATGCGCGGCCACCACAGACTGCCGCTAAGTTTGCTCTGGTCTGCGGACATACACTCGCCACAAACAGCCTCGCGTTTTCGTCGTCCAGCCCCTCCACCGCCCACCGCCCAGTATTCTCCTCTGCGCGCACCTTCAGTGCAGGCGCAAGGTCCA